ACTAACTAACTAACTAACTAACTAACTAACTAACTAACTAACTAACTAACTAACTAACTAACTAACTAACTAACGACTACCCGTGTGTGTTGAACACGTTTAACCTTTGACCCTGACCCACCCTAACCTCCCAGTCTGACAGCTGAAGGTAGCTTCAGCAGATTAAAGCTCCACAAAATGTGCAGCGTGGAGCCACGACGGCGGATTAACCAACCCTAATAATTAGGACCAGTCTGCAGATGAAAACAGGAGGAACAGCTCTCTGAGAAAAAACTCTGAATTTCTGAGATTAATTTCAGAAATTTTCGAGAAAAAACAAGGAAATTCTCTGAGCCCCAACAGTCGTAAATTAGCGAGGAAAAAAAAATCAATATTCCCTAATTAAAGGAGCAATTTGCGACATTTAAACTGCATATTTTCTGACATGATAAAGTCATAAATTTACCAGAAAAAACTTGTAAATTTATGAGAAGAAAAACTGAATTTTCAGGAATGGTTAAAGGGAGATTCATACGATTCCACCTGTTTTCACATCTTTAATCTGCTCCAGTTTGAAAACCAAAACACAGACTTCAAACCTGGACTACATTATTCTACACTGACTGCAGAATGTTTAAAACAAAGTGTGAAACATATATTTGATTTGTGAAGTATGTGGTGATTTCAGCAGTTTTTCTCTGAGATTTGCTCCTCCTTTTCTTCATCTGTAAAGTGGACCTAGTACACCATCGTAGTGGAGCAGTTCTATTTCAAAATCTATAACTTGCTAAATCTTTATTCTAAGCTGTGGTGTAATCAGTCCAGGTCTGAAAACTGGATCTGATGAAAGTGACATGAAAAGAGGAATAAACTCTTCTGTGTGGTCCCAGGTCCTGCTCCCTGTTGGAGTATTATGCAGGGTGAGTCTGTGTGCTCGCTGCCGCTGTTTGTCCTCTGTGAGGGAAGAAGACCCTCCCTCACATCGTCAGGAGGGTCTCAGAACTTTGCAGAGACACTGCCTACAGAGATGAGCGAGAGGATCTTCGGGGAGCTGGACACAGAGAGCCTCTGCAGCGCCTCGCAGACCTGCAGACTGTGGAACCACATCATCGAGCAGAGCCAGCAGCTGTGGAGGCAGCAGTGTCTGCTCGTACGGGCCGTCTGTCACAGGGAGGTGGACCGGGACCGGAGGGACGGCTTCTCCTGGAAGGTGAAGCTGGACCTGAAGACTGAGAGTCTCAAAATGTTTCATTTAGTCAAACTGGTTCAAAGTATATGTGAGAAACAGATCTGATAAAAACTCTACTTTAAAACAAGCTGACATCATCAGACAGGAAGTTAGGATGGTGTGACATCATCAGACAGGAAGTTAGGATGGTGTGACATCATCAGACAGGAAGTTAGGATGGTGTGACATCATCAGACAGGAAGTTAAAATGTGACATCATCAGACAGGAAGTTAAAATGTGACATCATCAGACAGGAAGTTAAAATGTGACATCATCAGACAGGAAGTTGAAGCTGTGTGTGTCTCAGGTGACCCTGGTGAGGAACTACACTCGGAGCTGTGTGAAGGCAGACTGGCTGAGAGGACGGTACAGCGACGTGCAGTCAGCTGACCAGCTGCTGGGGAGGACYATGGTGCCGCTGGACCCTGAGACGTGGGGCGAGATCCTGCAGGCGGAGCTGGACCGGTGACTGAGTCACGCTTCAGCCTCTTCTTCACTCTTCTTCTAAGACAAGAACAAATGTAGATAAAAATGTAACGATGGAAACAATCTGTCAAATGTTTCATGTAAATAGAGCTGCAATAAAACCTGCTTTATAAAAACACAACAAGGTCCTGGTGCTCAGGAAAGTTCTTTAATGTTCTGACCCGGTATTTAAAAGACTCACAAACTGACAGAAAAGATTGAATATTTCAGTGAAAAAGTTTATTTATTGTTTTTACCATAAAGATCTTCATCTCCCTCCTCTTCATCAGCTCTGTACCGCTGAGAGGAAGAGGAGGATCTTCATCTTCCTCTCAGCGGTACAGAGCTGATGAAGAGGAGGGAGATGAAGAGGGCGGAAGTTATTTTATTTGTAAATGAATGAAAGCTGTCGGAGGAAATATTCCGCAGTAAAATTAAACATTTTGAAACCGTCCAACCCTGGTCTTTTATTGTGAAAGTCTGTCCCGGAAGCAGAGGTCTCTCCTCAGCACCAGCTCGGCCCCTCCCCCTCCCTCAGGTGAGACAGCAGCATCTCGGGAACATCATGGACGACGTCCCGCCGATCATCAACATCTCCGTGTCCCTCCGGATCCAGCCCAACGACGGACCCGTTTTCTTCAAGGTGGACGGGACCCGCTTCGGCCAGACCCGGACCATCAAGCTGCTGACCGGATCCAAGTACCGGATCGAGGTGGCCGTCAAGCCCGGAACAGTGGAGGCCACGTAAGTAGAACCTTCAGTTCCGAACCGGTCGTGGCGTGGACGTGTGGTGGACAGGTGAGACCCGCGCGCTGAGCGGGACATCAGAGCGCGCGGCCTCCCGGTCCTCCCGGTCCTCCTCTGCAGGCCGCATCCGAACAGGGCCGCGCTGAGAACGGTTAAAGGTCCAGGACTGTGGTTCTGTTTGTAAAGTTACAGTCAAACATTAACACCAATATTTGTGTTTTATTTAACCTTTTATAAGAAAACAGGTTTATTTTTAAAGTCAGTTTATAAACATATGATTCATACATTTATAAATGTCAGTTTATT